TCTACATCGTTGTTAATATGCCATGTGCATAGTAAATGAGTAGTTCCAGGAAATATTTCCCGAATAGGCGACATCAAACCCAACTCAAAATCGGTTATAATGGCCGTAGGCGATACATCACTACCAACCAGCAACTTTAACTTAACTATCACCCATGCATAGCTCGCAGCGCTCTCATCCTTCATAAAAGCATACCCGATCAAGGAATTCATGTTGCAAGATAGAAGTAACACCAACGAGCTACAAAAAAGGCATTTTGTATTTGTTTGTCTTGTAAGTTGAATCAATGCCAATGACCCACGGATACGTGCGTAAGAGCGCTAGAGACGTAGGATGTGCCATAAATACATGAGTCAAAACATTCGTATCCGGGTCAACCAAGCTTCAATGTGTATACTGCGACTCGATACCAAGTTCAAGGAAATATGTAACAACAGCTCGACCGTCAGCATCTTCAAGTCTCAACCGATCCCTAAAGTTGTAAATATGTCTACGATTGGGATGATCATCAGGAAACTGATTCCGCACAGCCGCTAAGATATTTTATGGCTTCACTTTTGCATCAGTCAGGTCACGAACAAGTTGCTTCGCACCCGGACTAAGCTTGCTCATTTGTCGATTGCCTTCTTCATAGACAATTAGCTCATGGTTGAGTTTTCCATATGCATCGGGACCCAAGACAATCTGCCATCCTTCATCATCAGAAACTTTATAACCCTTGATAAAAAACTTGCAACCGCAATGTTGAGTTTTTGTGTTCGGTCGTTGTGCAACACTAAGATATCTATTTTTCACTCTATATATCTCTTGCACCACGATTGCATCTCAAATACAACCATCCGTTATGGTTGTAAAAAATCACAAGTTGAAATTTGAGTGTTTGTGCAATGTCTTTTGCCCATTGTGACAACTCTCGATACGTTGGAAATAATTGATCGGTCTGAAAATGTGGGTAATAATTTACCCCATCACCGCCAAAATCTTCAATAGGATCCTATTAGAAAGAAAAATACAAAGTTAATTAAAATTAAATTTAACTACAAATTAAATTAAATTCAATTGAAAGCAAAAATAATTTTTTTTGTTTTGCAAATTTAAACTACTAATTTTTTTTATTAAGCCATAAATTTACTAATTAAATTAAGTGTATTTTGTTATTTTTAATAATTGTAAGGGGCATGCAAGTCATTTATATCTCGTGAGTGGTCAAGGTAAAGTCGTGGTGTATGATGGTCAAGGTGGAGTCGTGGTGGTGGACCAGACAAGGTGGAGTCGTGGTGGTGCACCAGTCAAGGTGGAGTCGTGGTGGTGGACCAGTCAAGGTGAGTGATGGTATGGGTGGTGGAGCTAATGGTGAAGGTGGAGCAAAGACAAAATTAGTAATGGTTGGATTGTTATGTAATTTTTAAAATTGTAAGGGGCATGAAAGTCATTTAATGCTATAACTTGAGAAATTTCATTGTGGCAAATAGCAATTCACTTTTTAAATGGGGTGATCTCATTTTCTTTCTCTCCTAATAAAATCAGATTCCCCCACCCTATTTTAAGTGAGGTGGTCCCATTTTCTCTCTCCCCTGTCTTTAAGGACCTGTTCTCATTGACTGAACTCAGCTGAACTGAACTGAACTGAATATTTTATAAGAGAAGTAAATTAGGAGCTGAACTGAACTGAGCTGAACTAAACTGAACTGAATTTCAACGTATGAGACCTGACCCTGATTACTTCCCATTATACCAACTAATCTTTGCCCCCTTCACCTTACCACAAAAAAAAAAAAAAAAAAAAAAAAAAAAGAGATAGATAAAATTAGGGGTGGTCGAGGTAGCAATGGCCACCCATATGAATGATAAAATCTATTACTCGTAATTGTCAAGTATAATATGGTGGTAAACTTGGCAAAGTTGGTTTACTTTGGGTTTAAATAGTTTAGAATTCTTTTGTTCATTTTTTTCTTGTGTTCTTATCTTTCTTTCATTTTCAATTTTCGTTGCGAATTGCATATAATCTTTCTATTTTTCCCTTTATGTAATATTCTAACTTTTAAAATATACGATTAAAAAGTACATCAAGAATTTATAACTATTGTCCCGTTTATATAAATTTTCTGGTTCCGCCACTGTTTAAAAATACTTCAATTTGTAAAATAATTTTACTTTAATAGAAGTGAACTTCATACAGCAAAAGTAAGTACAATCCATAATAGTCAGAAAATTCAAATAAAAAAAAATATTAGACAATCAGTAAAAGTTTATTACAATTTAGTATGGAGTATAAATTATTTAAGTTTGACAATTTTTTTTTTTTTTGAAGAGATGACAAAAATAATTTTAATTCATTAAAAACAAATTGAAATCAATAGGACCTAACTATCTTTAGATAAGAGATCTACCACGCACTTTTGCTCTCACAAACAATACTTTTGATCTATCACTATCAAACATTGAAAGAGAATTGAGTACTCCCTTCATTCCATTAGCATTTTTTGTACCATTCATCTGAACAACTTTGTTTAATACTACCTCCGTTTTTATTAGTTTTGAATTTAGCACTATTCACACATGTTTTATGATTTATTTGTAAGGAAAAATTTAGTCAAGTGGGATCTTGTTAAATTCGTCATAGTGTAATATTTTCATAACATCAAGTTTTTATAATTTTTGATTATCGGTAATTAAAGATATTAATGATTTAATTTGTGCATTGACAAACGTGACTAAAAAAACGTGTCAACTAAAAAGAAACGAAGGAAGTACATAAGTAGGGCTGTGCACTGGTCCAAAACCGGACCAGGACCGGAACCCGGAATTGATTTTTTTGGGGACTGAGATCGAACCGTAATCAACCAGTTCGGGTTCCGGTCCAAACTTGTTTATTCCGGTCAAGTCCGATTTTGGACCGGAATGGACCGGTTACATTATTTTTTATTTTTCTTTTTCATTTTAGTATCTTAATACATATATACATTTTTAATGTCTTGTTTTTGTTAGCGTGCTTTCCTATTTTCCACCTAAAATTTATAAATTACAAGTTTTGTACCTAAATTTTTTAGAAATTTAAACATAAAATTTAAAATTTTCACCCAAAAAATTACAAAAATACACTTTCTAGTCCAGAATGAAATATTTCGATTTTTAACCGGACCAGACTGGAATCCCCAATTTGTGAGGACCGAAGACCGGACCAAAACAATCGGTTCGAGCCGGTCCGGTCCAGCTCCGGTCCGGTCCTGGTCGGTTTTCTGGTCCAGGTCCATTTCTGCACACCCCTATACATAAGTAAAAATATAAATTTATAAGTACTTGTGAGAATCGTGTCAATAAATAGATTATTAATTTTTAATTGTTGTAATTTATACTCCATACTTAATAATAATTAAGATATTATTGGTCAATGTTTGCACGCATAAGAAAATGTACTCAATAGAAATAGAGCATTTATTACACAACCGAATGGAGTAATTTAAAAGAAATAGAGAAAATATATTCATACGTTAACGGGGCGTTTGGATTGTGGGAATGGAAATTTAGGGATTAAAAGGTGGGAATGGGATTGGGAATAAATTGATGGGAATACATGAAAATATGTCAATACCTTGTTTGGATAGTAGATGGGAATAAATAGGGAATAAATAACAATTTTACAAAAATACCCTTACTAAGATTTTTTTTTTTTTTAAACAACCCTTACTAAGATTATTATTTCATCCTTTTCATTAATGACAAAAATGTCATTTTCCTCTATTCCCATTTCCATCCATTTATTACCTACTCTTCCTAGGTAATAAAATGGTGGGAATTCACTCATAAATAATCTCATTCCCAAACCCCATTTTATTCCCATTCCCACCAAACAAACAAGGCTTATGTTTTCAGTTGGGATTAAAATTCCCAATCCCACCCTCAATTCCCACTTGCCAAACACCCCCTAAGTGCCTTGATAAGTGGTTGTTCCGCACTCCGTATTTGGAATAAGAAGTTTGGGAACGAACAAACATAGGTTATATATACAACATACCAGTGTATAAGGATTCGAAACCCAGACCTCTAGAATCTGAGGTAAGCAACTTATCAAGTGAGGGTGTTTAGGGGTAGGAATTCCTTACCCTACCCTCTACTCCCAATTGTCACATACAAGCCTATGCAAAAAATGCTCATTAGTAATTACATAAGAACACAAGCCTATGTACGTAGTACAAGACAATGTAATGTAACAATGCTAATTAGCTTAAGCTATTGGTTGAATTCGTCCTTTAACATGGTATCAAGAGTTAGCGTGACACAAAGGTTGCGGGTTGGAGTCTCATCCACCTCGTATATAAACCGATCTTGGGCTTCAACCAGTCAACTTAAGCTTTTGGTTGAATTGATCCTTTAACATATAGTATATCAAAGAATTGTCCACGTCTATCCAGTTAATTAAAGAACTATGACTTGACTTTCCAAATTATGTATATATGTGAATGGTAATTTTTTAAAACCAATTAAAGTAATGTCAATTTCATATGCATGATCATCCAGTTCATTCTCAATGACATTTGCATTTTTAAAATGTTCAGAGATTCTCTAATCCCATTTTTGTACAACAAAGTTATAGCCACTTCCTGAATGCAATGTATCTAAACTGGTTTTTAGTCCGTCTTTTGCAGTCTATAATACTTTTTTAGGTTCATCTTCAGTGTGTACTTACTGAAACTTGTAATTTTTTTTAGCAATTGCTAACCATTTTCTCAAATGGAAAATTTTAATGAGAGGTTGAAAGTTAATTTTCTAAGAACTTGCCAGAATATGCAGGGACAAAAATACTACAAGTTGCTTCTGAAGTCAAATATTAAGCAATCATTTGTTCAAGCTAACTAGTTATTTAACTATAATTATAATACTGTAATAACTAAAAAAAAAAAAAAAAAAAACCAAGGTAGCACATAAATTCTTGAGTAACATATAGACCTTAAGCTTGATATTAATGAACAAACGAAATAGGAGGCAGGACTTTGAAGGAGATGATCCGAGTTTACCTTAGGGGCTTCGTAGCTGTTCTAGCTCTTGCAGTGCTTGTACATTCACAGCAGGATCACACAGGTTTTGTTACAGTGTGTTTTTTACGAATCATAATTTATAATAGTGTATGAGTGTATGAGTCTAACACAATATCCTGCTTTTTATTTCCGTTCTTGGTGATTTTTATCAGGATTTATAAGCATTGATTGTGGATAAGATACAGGCTACACAGATGAATCGACAACCTTAGATTATGCACCAGATGAACTATATATTGATACTGGCATAAATGTCGACGTATCTCCACCCTACAGAGTACCAACCCTGCAGCAGCAGCTTCAGAATGTCAGAAGCTTTCCTAAGGGATCAAAGAATTATTATACCCTTAGATCATCTCAAGGAAAAGGCGCTAACTATTTGGTCAGAGCTATTTTTATGTATGGAAATTATGATTTCCTTGATAATCCTCCCACATTTGAGCTGCACCTTGGGGTTGATGTTTGGGACACAATAAAATTAGACAACTCGTCTCATATTGTGATGAAGGAAATGATACACTCACCATCTACAGATTTCTTATATGTTTGTCTTGCTAACATTGGGTCTGGAACTCCTTTTATATCAGCATTGGAACTCAGGCAGGTAAATGACTCGATCTATAAAAGGGAATCCGGATCTCTTGAACTTCTCTATCGATATTATTCTCACAAAACATCTGTGGATAACATAAGGTGAGTTTATCACAAAGTTTTCAATGTTATTGTTTTTAATTCTTGGTATAATCTGGCTTTAATGTAACATGTAGAAGTAACATAGTTCATTATTAGTACCTCAATATATCATAACAAGATCAGTTTACCTCCTGTATTATTAATTGAATCATCATATTCATTTTTCACCACATTTCAGGTACAATGATGATATATTTGATCGAATTTGGGAACCAATGTACTTGGTTAATGGGAGCCAAATCAGTACCGAATTTGATGTCATATCTACCCTCAATGTGTTTCAATTGCCACCATCAGTAATGAAAGCAGCAATCATACCAGTAAATGTTAGTGAGCCTATTCACTTCACCTACACACCCACTACAAATAAGAGCTTGGAATTTTATATCTACCTTCATTTGGCTGAGCTTTCGACACTCAGTGCTAATCAAGTCAGGGAGTTCAATGTTACTGTCAACGGCCTGCATCTTTATGGACCGTATGTCCCACTGTACTTGACAGCTGATACCATATACAACAACAAAGCACTTACTGGCTCGCAGCTTGATGTTTTTATCCAGAGCACTGAGAGATCCACCCTTCCACCAATCTTGTTAAAAATGTAATCTAGAAAAATCTAATTAGTAAAATCTACAATTAGCTAGATATTTCTAGAATAGCCTAGTGTCTTAAGAGAAATCTAGAGAAAGCTAGTAGATAGGAGTAGAGTAGTATGTCGGTGAAGGAGCATGTAAACCGACCTACACCACTATATATACTAGCACTTGGTCATGCAAATGTAAGCTATCCCCATGCAATAATACTTCAAATTTTATCCCACCACTACTTCCACTCACCTAAATTCTAACATTTGGTATCAAGAGCCACAAATTCTCAAAGCCTTTCCTACAATATCATACACATATTAGCCCAAACACAACATAATATATAATGGCCAATAACAATGTAAGTTTTCCCATTCCAACTTTCGGGGGAGAAAGTTATGATTTTTGGAAGATCAAAATGAAGACAATGTTAAGATCATATGGACTATGGAGTTATGCCGATAAAGGCTATAACGAACCTGAAGATGAAAGCAGTCTAAGTGATGCTCAAAGAAGAGACTTGAGGAGGAAAGGATGAAGGATGCATTGGCATTATATCTCATACAAAATGCGGTGAAAGATACCATTTTTCCAAGAATTATGAGGGCTAATACAACAAAGGAGGCCTGGGAGATTCTACAACAAGAGTTCCAGGGAGATAGCAACGTGAGAAGTATCAAACTTCAATCTTTAAGAAGAGATTTTGAAAATTTAAAGATGAAAGATAATGAGTTGGTTAAAGATTATTTTTCAAGAATTATCGAGATTGTTAATCAAATGAAATCATATGGAGAAGAAATTTCGGATGAAAAAATTGTGAAGAAAATTTTAGTATAATTAAATGACAAATTTGATAATATAGTTACAATAATTGAAGAAACAAAAGAATTATCCAACATAACTGTTGAACAACTTATGGGATCTCTAGAGTCCCATGAACAAAGAAAAAATCGTCAAAGTAATGATGAAGACATGATGGAGACCGCGCTTGCAACAAAATTTTCTCTTAAACCAGGAGAAATCAAGAAAAATGGGTCCATGAAGAAGGCCGAGGGTGAAGATGAAGAAGATTCACCATAATACAAAGGTATGGAGAATAAATTATTTTGTAAAATTTGTAAGAGAACTAACCATGATAGTGCAGATTGCTACTTCAAAGGAAAAGCACAATGTTGGATATGCAAAAAGTTCGGCCATGTTGGAAAGAATTGCAGGTTCAAGAAAGCTGATGTGGAAATTGCCAATTTTGGCAAGGAAGATAATGAAGAAAGCTTGTTTTGAAGAAGAAAATAAGAGGTTGCTAATGACAAGTGCATTAGCAGAAATATTTGGTGATATGAGCACCAAAATTAAAAGGAAAAATAAAGGAGATATATTCGAAAGGAGAATTTGGGAGATCTCTGGTGACACGAGCATCAGATCAGTTAGAAAGATGGTAACACGAGTACCAAAATTAAACAACAAAATTAAGGTTGGTAACATGAGTACCAACACAATGACAAGAAGAAAAGTCAAGATTAGAAGTTGTCGGTGACAACAAGAAGAAACAACATCAGAGGCCGTTGGTGACAAGAGCATCAACAAAACCGAAAGAATATTTTGAGAAGACGACGTACAGTTTAGAGTACAAGATTTTCAGATTAAGGGGGAGTGTTAAAAATGTAATCTAGAAAAATCTAATTAGTAAAATCTACAATTAGCTAGATATTTCTAGAATAGCCTAGTGTCTTAAGAGAAATCTAGAGAAAGCTAGTAGATAGGAGTAGAGTAGTATGTCGGTGAAGGAGCATGTAAACCCACCTACACCACTATATATACTAGCACTTGGTCATGCAAATGTAAGCTATCCCCATGCAATAATACTTCAAATTTTATCCCACCACGACTTCCACTCACCTAAATTCTAACAAATCTTAAATGCTGTGGAGATTTTTAGCATTAAGAAGCTTTCGAAACTTTCAACCAATCAACTTGATGGTAATTTCTTGCTCATTTTAGTCATGTAACATAACTTATTTTCTTGACTATTAGCTCATTCACTTCATCAGTTATTCATCTTGAGTTTTGTCAGAGTAATTTATTTTCTTAACTATTAGTTGATACTATGCGAAACATCAAGCTGTCTTATACCCTGACAAAGGATTGGCAAGGTGATCCGTGTGTGCCAAAGGCTTACCGGTGGACTGGAATAAACTGCAGCTATGAAACTTCTAGTTCCCCTAGAATAATATCTCTGTAAGCTTCTGAATTTTTACTAAAAATAAGTATAAAGTATCTTAATAACTAATGTTTCTAAAATAGAAATCAGACCACTATATAGTTAATCTTTTCCACTTTGTGGTCAGGAATTTGAGTTCAGAAGGACTTACTGGTGACATCGCGACTTCAATTTCAAATCTTACTGCCTTACAAGTCCTGTAATGTTTCGACAAACATTTAAGTTTTATTCCTGGTGTTTCTGAACTGCATTGGCAAAAAAAATCAGTTGTTCTATTGCTACGCTAAGTCCTTTATTGTTCTCTTATATAGTTATATTAATATATGACTTGGTATTTGTTTCAGGAATTTGTCAAATAATAAACTAAGTGGAAACATACCTGAGTTCCTTACAGAATTGCCTTCACTGAGAATCTTGTAAACCCCCCTTGTCTTTCATTGTTTTAATGGTTATCAAACAGTTCAATATAAGTAGACTTATTTCAGAATTATTTCCAGGAATCTTTCAGGAAATAGCTTCAATGGATCAGTTCCCGAACTTCTGCTTGAAAGATCCAGAAAAGGATCACTTTCCTTGAGGTAATCTTCTATAAATGAAAAGAGGATATTGTTTTCTTTTCTAGTTAACTTACTGTATTACATCTATTTCTGAAAAAGGTAATTCAATTTTAGCAACTTAGTCAACTAACACAACTTTGTTACCCTGTCAATGAAAGTGTGGAGAATAACCCAGCTCTTTGCTCGAGCACATCATGTACTTCACAGAAGAAAAAGAAAGCCTTCATTGCACTGGTAGCAGCCTGTGTTGCTCTCTTTGTCCTACTTACAGCTGGGTTTTTTTTCATTTTTGGTCTACACAAGAAGAAAGAAGCAAAGTATGAAACTAATACATTCTAATGTTGATCTTTCTCTTATAAATTGGTTAGCTACAACACTGTTCTCAAAAAGATCATAGCAGGATCATTTCATGCAGAATCATCAATAATAGAAGCTAAGAAACCTCCAACTACAACCAGCATACAAAAATCCAGTTATAGTCAAGGGAAGGGTGGATTAGCGCGATTTACTTACTCTGAGATAACAAACCTGACAAGAGGCTTCCGGAGAGAACTAGGAAAAGGTGGATTTGGAGTTGTTTACTATGGCTGCTTGAAAGATGGGGTGGAAGTTGCTGTCAAGATGCTCTCTCCTTCAATTAATGCTTCAGAACAATATAGTACTGAGGTTAATTGTGATCAAAACTGCACTACTAAAGCTACATTTTATCCTGAAACATATAAAATTGACAGGATTTTTCAATTTGAGTGACAGGTTGAACTCTTGATGTCCATTCGCCATAAGAACTTGGTCTCTCTAATCGGCTACTGCGAGGAAGGAGCCCATTTAGCCCTCATATATGAGTACATGGCTAAGGGAAACTTGCAAACCGTTCTCTCAGGTATATAAAACTACTCATCAATTGTTCTTACTCCTGTACTATTTGTTTCTGAACAGAAAAATTCATTGTTTTTCAATAAAACAACTAATATTAAAACTGGTGGGACAAATGCAGCATCAGAATTTTTGAGTTGGAAAGACAGGCTACAGATAGCAATCGATTCTGCACAAGGTTAGCGATCTAAGTAACAGCTATCCTGATTTAGTTTTATAAATCCAAGCTCGTATTTATCAGATAATAACAACTACTTTGTATGCTGGATTGTATTGCAGGACTAGAGTACTTGCACAATGGTTGCAGGCCACCTATAGTCCATAGAGACGTTAAGACTCCAAACATTCTACTAAACAAAAATCTCCAGGCATAGATAGCTGATTTCGGTCTGTCCAAAATCTTTCCTGATGAAAATAAATCTTACATATCAACAAGAGTCATTGGCACAACAGGCTATCTCGATCCCCAGTAAGTCCATACAGTATACATCACATTATTACCAAGAACTGAATGCATTTTACCTAATAATATGACTTATATATGTTCATTTTGTGTAGGTATCACATTACACAACAGCTGAATGAGAAAAGTGATGTATACAGTTTCGGCGTAGTCCTATTGGAGTTGATCACAGGTAAAACAGCAATCATGAAAAAAGATGATGAACAAACTAGTTTGGTTAGGTGGGTTAGTCCATTACTTGAAAGAGGAGACATTTGGAGCATCGTCGACAAAAGACTGCAAAATGTGCACAACCCCAATTCCCTTTGGAGGGTCACAGACATAGCTCTGGCATGTGTTAAGCTGACTGCAGTGGAAAGGCCAACAATGAGTCACATTGTTACAGAACTGAAAGAGTGCTTAGAAATGGAGCTGAATGAAGGAAACTTGATAATAGAATCTGATAAAAATTCAATTGAGATGAGCCCGGCTATTACTTACACAGCAATGGCTCCTGCAGCTCGTTAACATAGCCCAAACAAGGTTACATCCTAAAACTAATCGACAAAATTATAAATTTGCTTTTACTTTATAGATGTGACACTACTCATCAAGTAATTTGTGGCTATTTTTTTACATAATAAATTGTGCTTCTTTTTTTTTTTTTTTTTTTTTTTTTTTTTTTTTTTTTTTTTTTTTTTAAATTGCAAAGTTTGGAATTTTACACTTATTCATGCACAACATTCTTTTGATCGTTCTTGTGATTTATACTAAGAAAATATTATCATATGGGATCACTTAGATTAGCTCCGAAATGCACCTTCATAATATCAACTAAAAACTCTTCTGTTTCATGCTTCCACTATTTTTAACCAATTAACCAATAATATCTTAGTTACAAAGAAGTAAAAAATTATAAATCATGTTGATT